GCTGTTCCCTCTGCAGAGAACACTCCCACTGATTTCCTTAGCTCCCTCCTTCAATTATCACGTCCTAGGGGGTGGTGGAAGTCAGTGGTAAAGCACTTACCTAGCATGCACAAGGCCCTGAGTTTAATGGCCAGCACCTCCAAGCAGCAACAATAGCAACAAAATAAAGCAAATAAAATGAAATAAAAAACTCAAGTAACATGTCCTCAGAGAGCCCTTCATGGCAAATACCATCTTCCACCTTATTTTATTTCTTCAAGGCCTTGTCGTCTGAAGTTACCTTCTTTGTTGTGTGCATTTTTTTGACTACAAGAGCTATGGGAGCCGTGACCTTAAGTGCTTGCTTACATCTTGTCGCCAGTGCCAGGAACAGGGTTTTTTGACCAGAGCATCTATCAATTTGGGAAAAAATGACATCTTTGTTTTCACTAACTTCTAGCTGAAATTTAGAATTTCTCTCATTTACTAATCCAAACAATGAACCACAATAATACTAACATACTTAGAACTTGTCACCAACAAAAGTCACATATATTTTTATATCAGTCAACCATCATGGGCATTTCAATATCTGTGCTCATAACTGTTTTGACTTACCAATAGATCTTATTATTTAGTGCAATAATAAATCTACATATTCCTTTACATGAAGAAATATAATTATACTAAAAATTGTTGAAAAAATAACAGCTAACATTAATAATACTTTTAATTTCATTGGGTTCCTGTGTAATTTTATTTTATGGATTTCAAAACATTTCTGTGAGAGGGGGGTCCCAAAGGGTTTAAGGCACAGAGTATTTAAGAATTGATGGTTAGAACAGTGCCCAGTGAACCAGAAGTGGTGGTGCATGCATGTAATGTCACCTACTTGGGAGGCTGAGGCAGGAGGATTGAAACTTCGAGGCCAGCCTAGGCTATTTATCGAGACCTTGTCTATAAACGAAGAGATAAAAGAACACCAAATAATGAATGATATGTTTTTCTTCCATCCCAATAAATCCACTGCATTTTCAGGGTCAGGTTTCTGGTGGGTTGGCATGAAGTTCATGTCTAGGAATAAGCCTTCGTTAAGGTCTTTTGGAAACCTACCCTCACCACCTTACACTGAAAGTGGCATTTCTGACCCTGTGCATCTGCTTTCCCCTACCCGCACCCCTCTGACCAGGCTATACCTGTACAGGGCCACCCTCTGCTCCTGAGAGCACAGTACCTCAGCTTGGTTGGCCAACAAAGGCTGAGGTCTCAGGGTTCTGAATTCTCAAGAGAATAGGTGGCTGCCCTCGTCCGGTTGGTCTGCTTGGGAGGCGTGGTCCCCCATGCTCAGGGCCCTCCCCTCAGGTAGGGACGCAGTGCCTGGGGAGGAGCTGGGCCAAGCTTAGCCCTGATGGGAGTCTACACCCTGATATAGGCATTATAGCTCAGCTGGGCTCCAGGAATCCAAGTAGTTTCTGCTTCCTGAGGCTGTCATGAAGATGAAATGAGCTAGAAGTATAACGCTTAGGTTGTACCTCACCTAGTGTCTGCGCTCACTGCCGATGCTCTTACTGAGGTGTGCAGGAGTGGGTGGGGCTGGTGCATCCTTCTGATGGGAAGCAGGGGCCAGAGGGCAGGGGAACCTGTGTTAAAAGGCTGGGTGAGGCTGACGGGTAGGGAGAATGACGCCTTTAGTGCATTCCAGGCTGAACAGGTTGGGCTCCAGACCTGGGCTTCCCCTGGGGAGGCCCACAAAGTGCCAGGCACAGTGGGACAGGAGGAAAGTCCACTTCAGCCTTGAGCCCAGCAGGTGGGACCCGTTGAAAGAGGCTGTCTTCACTCAGCCTTCCCTATCACTCTGTTAAATCCAGCTGAGTTGCTGTTCCCCCATCTGAACTGAGCTTAGCAGCTTCCATCCCATCATGCCGGTCTGTTCTGGGTTGGGAGACGGGCTGCACTGGTCCTGTTTACCCAGCCTATTCTGGTTGGTTAGTCTGGTTTGAGGCAGCCCAAGGGACTGACTTGGACTTGCACTGCCTTTAAGCATTCGAACTAGGTTTACTTTTTTTCTCAGTTTTTGGACTCCCCATTTGAAGTCTCTGGGACTTTCCTGGAGGTTTCTCTGTGCCTAAAAGGCCTTTCCCTTGCTCAGGGCTGCTCCTCCCCTCTCGGTACTGTTTCTTTGGTATGGGAAATTCCTCAAAGCTTGCTTATTCATACCACTCTTCTCTGTTTCCATGTACTAATACAATAGGTTTTTAGTACTTTAATATTTATTTGATCATTTAAAAAGGAATGTCAAACATGATACCATCATGAAACAGAGGTCAGGGTGCTTCTTTTAGTTGAGATGTCATAGAAGCCATATTTCCTGGGCTGTGTACCTGTGACCACAATCCAGTTTTAGAACGTTTCCATCACTTTCGAAACACTCTGTATCCATGCACAGTCAGTTCTGCTTCCAACCTATGGATGTGCTTTTGTCTCTACAAACTTGCCTTTTCTAGGCATTTCCTAAAATGGAATTATACATAATACATTCTTCTGCATCTGACTTCTTTCACGTAGTATGATGTTTTTGAGGCTTAATCATGTTTTAGCTTGTATCAGTATTTCATTTCTTTTAGCAGCTGAGTAGTTTTACATTTTGTGTATATATTGCATTGCTTATCCATTCACAAGTGATGGACATCTGAATTGTTTCCAACTTTTGACTTTTATGAATAAGGATGCTGTAAACGTTCACACACATGCTTTTGTGTAGGTACATATTTATGTTAGGTAGGTACCTAGGAATAGAATTGCTGGGTTATATGGTAAGCTTTTGTTTAACTTTTTTTTTTTTTTTCCAATACTGGGAATCGAACTCATGACCTCGCGCTTGCCAGGCAGGCACTGTGCTGCTGAGCTAAATCCTCAGCCCCTGTTTAACTTTTTAAAAAGCTGCCAAAGTGGTTGTATCATTTGCCTTCCCACCAGTAATGGATGAGGGTTCTGTTTTTTCACATCCTCACCAACGTTTTCTATGGCTTGTTTTTGCTTTTTAATTTTAGTGATCCTGATGGGTGTGAAGTGGATGTCTCCATGGTTTTTATTTCCATTTCCCTGATGCCATACTTGTTCACCTATACATTCTCTTCTGTGAAATGTCTGAATCTTTTGTGTGGCTGCCCCTTAAGCCTCACCAGCCGTGTATTTGTGGTCCTGGATAACAGGGAATATGGATTCTCCTAGGACAGAAATGATTAAGAAATGGGTGTCCTTAGCCTGTCCCTTCTCCTTGCTCTTGAAAGAAGATTTGGGCCTTTCCACCCGAGTTTTGCCTCTTAACTTTGGTATTAAATTATCAAGCATTGGACAAAGTTCTAAACATTGCCATATTTGTTTCATCTGATGTATGTTTTGCCAACCTCCTTGGAAGTGAGCTGTAAGCTTATTTTGCCTCTGAATTTTGCCCTGGCCATTATCTACTGATAAAGACCTCCTCCTACTCACTACCACAGTGTGCTCATACCTAGGAAATCAGCAGGGACTCACTGGTACCATCGAGGATTCACTCACCTTTCCCCATATGACCCCCACTGGTTGTTTATAGGAAAGATCGGTTCTTCTGAGGTCTGGGGAAGAAAGGGAAGGTGGAAGGCTCCAGGACAGTCATGCGCAGGTGCCGTTGGAAAGGAAGACACGAGAGCAGCTGGGGTGCTAGAGGAGCCATGCTCGATTGGAGATGTGTAAGGAGGAGCTCTTTGACCTTGACATTCCATTTGGCTGCTCTAATGTTCACTGCTGTGTGATGGCGCCTGGAGGTTCAGTTAAGCGAAGTGTGGGCTGGCATTTTCCATCTTCCCTCACCACCTCTAGTCTGGCTCTTACCCTCCAAGACCACTTTTCTCATGGGCACTATAGATTCTACATGTCCCAAGTCAAGTTCATCGTCTTTGGTCACCAGTCTGCTGTGCTACCCCTGTTCCTTCCTTGAGGCACCTCAGGCTGGAAGCCATCATATACCCTCTAACTCCTCCCCTTCACTCCATGTCAGTTTCTATGGAATCTCTGACCATTTTTTATCTCAGTCTGTCTACTTCTGTCTGACTTCACTGCTGCCCCTTATCTCAAAGGACCATCCTTATCTCTTGCCTGGATAATGGCAGTTGGCTTCCAATGCCCACCCCACCCCCCACCATCCTGCTGTCCTGGCCACCTTCTGGTTAAAGAGCTGAAGCTGCGAGTGGCCATTCTCTGGGTGTTGTGATGGGATGGCTGATCTGGAGGTGGGTGCACATGGTGTGGGAGAGCCTGTTCTGCCTTGGGTGGGCCAGGCATGGTACGGAAGAGTGACCTGTATGCAAGTCTTGAATGGTGGTGGTGGGACAGCATGAGCAAAGGCACAAAGGTATGACTGACTTATCTCTCTGTGCCTCACTTTCACCACATGTAGGATGAGTGCAGTAATCAGGCCTCCCTCAGGATTGTGGGCAGGGTTAGGTGAGTAGGGGGATGTTAAGTGCATGGCAGGTGGTAAGTGCTATGTGAGGTTAAGTATTGTCCAGGTTGTTACCGAGGAGGCAGTGTGGTACCCAGGGAAGCAAGAGAGGATCAGTTTGTCTACTCCATGCTATCTTTGTCTAAAAGGTCACAGGCTCTGGTGCTTGCAAAGGCCAGGGGTATGCTGAAATGGCCACACAGGCCAGGTGGGGGCCCAAAGTGCCAATACAAGGGGCAGCCTGCTCAGCCCAGATGATGGCCACCACACAGGGTTATGGGCCTAATACTACTAGAAAAGATCCAGAATTCTATGTGAAACCCAGTTTTTAGATGTTGGTAATTAATTTTAAAAATACTAAAACTCTGTTCAAGCCCAGTGAACTACATCAGTGGGCCAAGTATACTCTGAAGACTACCAGCTTATGACCTTTCTTTGGAGTGTCCTTCTGGGTAATCTGCTAAGTGTGGTGTAGCTTTCCCTCCAGGATGGGGGTCATTGGTGCCGGGAGCTGGTTTTTATGCGCTCCTTTCTCTTGCAGGACTTCTCTAGGCAGGTTATGTCACCGGCAGAGGCTGCCCTGGAGCTCCCTGTGGCCTGGAGACTATGTACAAGAGGAATGGTCTGATGGCTAGCGTGTTGGTCACCTCTGCCACCCCACAGGTATGGAGGCTGCAATCAGGATTGGGTGGGGCCTTCAGCTGACCCAGGCCCCAGCAAAGCCGTGGCAGCAAGGCCACAGGCCCCCACTGAATGCTACCATTCTTAGCACTCCCAAGGTCCCTGGCCATGCTAGGCGTGAGATTTGGGAGGCAGTCGGCCTAAGGATCAGTGTGTTTTCTGAAGTTGTTCTCTTCAAAGAAAAACAAATACCTGCTCAGTCCAGCTGTAACAAGTGCCACATTCCATTTTGGTGGCAAGACGGGATCAGACCTTTCCCAGGAAAAGCTGCTGCTGATTATAAATAAGTTGCACATTCCAGAATGAAGTCAGACAGAAGTCATTCCGACTGGCTTCTATTTACCTTTCTCCATAGGAAGTGGCTGTAAGAAGTGGTGATCTGAGGGGGGCCTGAGCCAGGACCCCTGTCTGAGGCTTGGAACTGACATGCACAAGTAGTGGGTGTCATCTGAGGCCTGGTGCCTCTGTAGCAAGTGTGGAATGCCTGACACCTCTCACCCACTGGCCAGGCAGTGTTGGGTCCTGGGCTCACATCAAGTGGGGCTTTTGAAATAATCCAGGGTAATCAGGCAGAAAGTCATAGGAGCCAGTTTGTTTCTTACAAATCTTTCAAAAAATTCCGCATGTTGGCCCTCTTAATGTTGAAATCAAATACAAATATAGTTCATAAATAAAGTAACTGCATCACCACCACCATCATCATCAATTAAAAGATTTAGGGCAACTTCTGGCTAAAAATATCCCCTTGAATGAGTCTACGTTTGGGTACAATGGGGTGTTACAAGAAAGTTAAGAAACCTGAAATCCCAGGAATGGATTCTGGTGGCTAGAAGAATCAGATTTCTGTTTCCATCTATAACTTATACTCCATCCAGAATGAAACTTCTTTCTTCCCTCTTCTGTGTGAGTGTATGTATGTGTGTGTGTGTGTGTGTGTGTGTATATATATATATATATATATATATATATATATATGAATGTGCATATGTGTGTAGACAGATGTATATACACACATATACTGAATATAGTCATCCCTCCATATTCATGGAATCCACTAACCATGGACCAACAATACTCAAAAAAATTTCATGTGGTGAACATACAGACTTTTTTCTTATTATTCCCTAAGTAATACAGTATGACAATAATTTATAGAACATTTACATTTCATTCGGTATTATAGGTAATCAAGAGATGATTCAAAGTATATGGGAGGATATGCATAGGTCATGTGCAAATACTAGGCCATTTTATACAGCACCTTTGAGCATCTATGGATTTTGCTATTTCTGAGGGGTCTTCGAATCAACCCCCTGTGATACTGAGGACTACCTTAGACACATATGGGTATATCCAGCACATGGTAAGTACCCCATAATATTTGTTGAATGAATGACTACATGGATAATTGAAGTACTCATTGAATCTTAGTGACTGAATGACACACTCACACCCAGGCTTGCCCATAGCTGAGTGCTTACTCTACTCCAGGTACTTTGCATGTTCCACGGGCTTCCTCTCATTTCACCCTCACAGCAACCCCATCAGCTGGTAGCTAAGGTTTATGGATGAGGAACCTGAGGCATGCAGAGGAAAACACACTGCTTTGATCGCACAGCTGGCCAGGCAGGTGGGTTCACATCAAGGCTCCCATGCTGTCTCAGAGGAGGTCACCACTGTCAGCCTGGTTGAGCTGCTTCCAGGAAGGTGGATGGAAGTAGCAGAAATATTTATAAATCTTTGCCTTTTCAAGGTCAGCACTTAAGATTGGAGGATAGAATTGAGTGCTGATTCTGGAAACATCAAGAACAGTCTTTATTACTTTTCAGACTTATTCTCAGACCCAGATTTTTCTCAGGGAAAAATTTGTCACCTGTGGCACTTTTTTTTTTTTTTTTTTTTGTGGCAGTACTGGGAATTAAACTCAGGGCATTTGCACTGAGCTACATTCCTTACCTCCTTTAAAAAATGGTTCTTTTGAGACAGGGTCTTGCTAAATCACTAAGATGCTCAAGACATGCTCAAACATGCAATCCTCCTGCCTCAGGCTCCCAGAGTGCCAGGATTATAGACATGCACTAGCTGTGGCAGTTTTAGGATAACCAGGCCTTGAGCCAGCATCTCCCTGAGAGCGGGATTCTGCCAGGTGGATTCTCAGCTTCATTTAGTGACTTCATTTAGTCACTTGATTACCTATAATACTTCATTTCCTCTTCATTTAGTCATTTAGTCACAATGCTGGGATGTGGGATTTGACAGTGCTGTGTTACAGAGGATGAGTGAGACTCAGCAAAATGAAGTCACTTGCCTGAGTTTAGATAGCAGGCAGTGTGAAGCTGTCTTTTTGTCCAGGTTTACTTAACTTCAGAGCTCTTAACCACTATGATCGACTGCTTCTTAAGACCATCTCAAGGTTTTCAGTATAGCAGATGCCTTTCTAAAAACTTCCATGACACAAGCCTGCCGAAGCTAGCAGATTATGTCCCTGCTCTTCTCTTAACTTCACATTTTTAGTTGTTGACTAGTGAGTTCCCTTACTGGCCTAAAACACTCTTATTTCCAGTAAGATTGCAGCATTTTTCCAGATATAGCAATTTTGGAAAGAGTGAAATAAGAAGGAATTAATAAAAGCATATTCTGTAAATCCTACTCCAAGATGTTGAGGTTAATGGAAACCACAAAACCCTTCTTGATGAGTTGAGACGAATAAAATCACTTACGAACAGGGCACGAGTTTTGGGTGGTAAGCCTGATGGATTCCCAAAAGTGGAGTTTGATGAAATTAAATAAAATTACAGAGAAGGCATGTGCAGCATTCTGAGATCCGCACAGTGTGGGATTTCATGAAACCAGCCACACTTGGGGAGTTTTAACTTGCATCTTTATGGGAGCGCCTTTCTTTACATGCAGGATTCAGCATATCCTCCACACAGCGGACTCTTCTAAGTGTAACTTTCACAACAGTCTCCAAAGCCTGGTGGTTCCCTCTCAGCTCATCAACCAGCAGGCTCTGAGTTCCCAGTGTACCACACGTGAAATAAACCTCATGAAGGCCTGGAGGGCCAGTTTTACATTTTGGGTAGCAATTTCCTGCAGCAGGTTCAAGAAGAAAAAAATGAAAAGCAGGTGAACCAAGGTCATGTTTGAAAGACATAAGGAACAGAAGATTTCCTCAGACCTCTGAGAGGTGGGGCCTGTTCTCTCCAAGGGAGGATTGTGCTGGGACTTTTTTGTTGTTGTTCTAGGGATAGAACGCAGCCAGGGTCTTATGCATGTAGGCAAGTACTTTACTACTGAGCTCCACCCCTAGCCCTGTGTTGTAACTCTTTACTTGCTACAATACCACTGGTCAGAAATAGTGGTAGTGACCAAAGGTATTTTGAGGGGAAGCCAGGCAGAAAACTACATTCATATTCTGGCTATCAGTTTTGTAGCTGAGCTACCTTAAAGAGTTAGAATTGCCTCTAATCCCTTATCTGCAAAATGGGAGTAATAATAGTATATTCACATAGGGTAATCATGCAAATTAAGTAGGAGCATGCATATTAAGTGCTTCAGTAGTGCCTGGAAGAGAGTAAAGCCCTACAGAATGGGAGCTTTGCATTGTGTGATTATGTCACTCTAGCATCCTCTGTTTTTGGGGGTGGCAGTGATCCCAGGCCAGATCACTCAGGTAGCACGATTTCTCTGCATTCTCCACAGGGCAGCAGCAGCTCAGACTCTCTGGAGGGCCAGAGCTGCGACTATGCCAGCAAGAGCTATGATGCCGTTGTCTTCGATGTCTTGAAAGTGACTCCCGAGGAGTTTGCCGTAAGTGACACAGAACTGGCAGGGGTGCTAGCATGAACACAAGGTGCTGGAGAGAGCCACTGCTTTGTGCTTCCTTTTTTTTGTGGGGGGGTTAACTGGAATTGAATTCAGGACCTTGCGCTTGCCGGGCAGGTGCTTGTGCCGCTGAGCTACATCCCCGGCCCACTGCTTTGTGCTTTCTGCCCAGGTTGCAAGCAGTCTGTATACTTAACAAGAGCAAGTGCTGATAGAGGATGGCACGTCCCTTATAAAGTACCACGTGGTATTCACAAGGGTGCCCTCAGCCTCAAAATCAACTTGAAGTCATATGCAGTATGCATGACTAGCTAGCAAGAGGAGCAGGTTACAACACAGTTATGGAGAATAACACCATTTTTTAAAAGTGTGTACAGCATGCACACACATGTATTTAGACAAGGTCTAGATTTGATGTTTACATATTCATATATATTTAGATATATGAGCCAGGTATATTACTTACTATAGTTTTTAGTTGTGGATTCCAGGTATTTGTAATTTAATTGCTCTTTTTGTTTACTTTTACTTTCTATGATTTTATAATTGCCATTTTCTATAATGATAAACAGTATTATTTGAGCAGTTTTTAAAAATTATTGTATCAGTTAGGGTTTTATTGGAGAAACAGATACAACACAGGATATACAAATTAATAAGAAATGACAAGATTGGCTTACGACGGTCAGCCAGAGTGTTGTATGGGGAAGTGTGCAGAGGGTGTCTGCACACTGAAGACCAAAGGAATCAGTCCAGGGTCTGGAGTTCACTGCATAGTTCCATGCAAGTCCGTACCAGGAGGCCGACGAGTCTGCGACAGAAGGCTGAAGGATCCAAGGTGGAAGCCGAAGAGCCTGCACTAGAAGCCAGGAGACGAAGTCCAAGCTGAAGGTGAAGACTGGAGCTCCTCCACAAGGAATGGAAGTACCTCCGTCCTTCTTCATTTCCCTTTTATATTATCTAGGTGATGATCCACGCTAGGGTGGCTCTTCTACATCCTAGGGTGGCTCCTCTACACCCTAGGGTGTAGAATTGCTGAGCCAATTGCTGAGCCAAGTTTAGTTATGCTTCTAAACTTCTCAAGTTGACATAATCAATCAACTACTACAATCCACCCCTTGTCAACTTGGCAACCAGACACATTTCTTTAAACCAATCCCCAGATACAAAGACATGTATGTAATCACACCTTACATGTTATATCTATCCATCGTACAAATGGAAACGCAATAATCTCCTTACCCAAATAGAACGTAAATTTTCTTTGGTTGATGTTTACACTTATGATTTCATAAGTTGAACATTATAGCACAGGTTTAACAATCCTGAAGAACCAGAATTAAGTTTATCAACGTTATATTACATTAACACAATATAGGGGAGAAATAGTACCATTATAATCCTCTTTTCTGTAGTTGGTCACGGGGTCATAGCTGGTATTTAGAACTACCTTCTTCCACTACCCGTTCTGTATTCCCATGACTTTCAGCAAGCGCCTCAGCAGGTCTTGGTTCTTTTCCTGGTGGAGTGACCCATACCTTCATTCCTGAAGGCTCTGGACCATTTGTCATTGTGCCTGTATTAGGTTGTTGTAGTTTTCCATTGACTTTAATAATAGGGCAAGGTAATATTAAGAGATGCCCTAAGAGATCTCCTGCATTCCATGTGTATTCTTTTCCTCCATTGTGGAGTAGTAGTCCAATTTCCCCCTGATAGTCTGGGTCAATCACCCCTGACAACACTGTGATTTCCTTTTTAGCTTGTTTCCTCAGAGGCATGAGGAGACCAAAATGACCAGGGGAAATCTTAGCTTCCAGTTGAGTGGTATCATTGTTGTGCTTCCTGGTGTAAGCCTTCCCCCTTCTGGAACTAAGACTTCTAGGCTAGCAGAACATAAGGTTGTGGGGACAGGAGGCAAAAATTTTGCTAGTGGATCACTAGGGGTAATGGTGAGTGGTACCATTCCTACTTCCACCCCTTGGTTCCTGGACCCATGAATCCTGGCAATGGGGGACACAGTGCCATATAGTGGATGCTGATTCCAAGCATATACAGCCTTTTAAAGCACCTTACCCCAGCCCTGCAAGCTATTGCACCTTACCCCAGCTGGCACTGTAATTGTGTCTTCAAAAGACCATTGCACTTTCTATCAATCCAGCTGCTTCTGGGTGGTGAGGAACATGGTAAGACC